AACTCACTATAAAACTGTTAAAATTTACGGAGAAGGAAACCCTTTTTACGTATGGATTTACGAGAGGTTAAATTTAATTAAAGTAATCGTGATTAAAACTCTGGACTTTTTTTACTTTAATACTGTGCATTTGAGAAGAATGTATTATGGAACTCGCCCCTTGGGTTCGAATCTGCCGCGAAATTACAATCCAAACATGCGACGTGCGCGCGCAGCAGAGCCTCACTTTTGGGCGCCTCATCCCTCCCGTGTGTGGCACCCCCAGTTGGAGCGCGGTCTTCTATCAGCTTTTCTCCTCTGGTCTGCTCTTACTCTTTCTCTTCTGGCAGTTCTGGCTCATCAAGGGGAGGGGGACCGGGGACCCTAACCTCAAATTTCAAACTGTTAATTTCTGAAAAAAATCAGAGACAAATGAAAAAATCATTTAAATTGTTTCAAAGATAGTTCAAGATCCCTCCCTCCCTTTTGTACAAAAAAAGAAGGATATTAGGGGGTACTTAGTACTCGGATTCTTTACAGTCAAGAAATTTGTTTTGCTCCAAATACAACTCCAAATATGAAAGCTACGTCTTACTTTATCCGTAAAATTTATTTTGGTGTTCAACCGGTACGGCTGTGCGCTGTGTGTTCAACCAAAATTTAAGAAAAAAAATTCAAAATTATGTTTTTGCTGTTTTACTCAACTTTCTGGGCATTTCTAAAGTTCCCTTTCACAGTTTACCACGTGCATATAAGTGAACTTAAGGAGATTCATAAGTTTCAAGGGTTTAATCCTGAATTCTGCGGGTTAAATGAAATTTCACGAAATTTCTTTTTATAATCTTTCATGAAATTTCTTAACTCTGTTCCCACTAGAGTCCCTTTAGTTCCCACGTTATTTTAAATTCAAGTTGATCTGTTTTTGCCGCGTCAGCATCATCCAATAGGAGCCTGCTAAACATTTCATTAGTTCCCCGTTTCCACTCCACGCTAGAGTCCCTTTATACTGAGAGTGAAGACCATAGAGTACATAGAGTCGTAATGTGAATGGGAGAGCTGGCGCCATGTTCTGCTCGACGAATTCCGAGCCCGGTGTGCGCCGAGTTCGGGTCGCTTTTTCGATACATTTTCGATCCAAAATGGCGGTGTGGAATACATGGTAATTCCTATCTCCGTTGTTGTTGTTGTTGTTGTCATCGGATGACCGGGTACCTGTGTATCGCAAACAATCGATTATGTATCGAAAAAGTGACCCGGCGTCACACAGGAGTCTCGGAATTCGGGACATGGAAAATGCTTAAAAGTGGCGCCAGCTCTCCCAATTACATTACGACTCTATGTACTCTATGGTGAAGACAATTCGGCTCATGGATGTCACAAACGGGAATAAAGATTACAGAAATTGAACGTTTTTCGTAATCTTTGATCGGCTCATTCTCGAATTCCTTTCTTCGTTCCTTCCCCCCATTCCGTTTGTTCCTTGCCGAACCCGTAATTCCCCGGTCCATTCCAGATTATAATCTTTGCAATTGGTGAAACTGTAATCTTTATTCCCGTTTGTGACACTGTGAAGGCCTAAAATACGGGAACCAATCAGAAATGGATTCAAATTGTCTTGACTCACAGTATAAAGGGACTCTACTCCACGCCAGGCACCACTCATAAAACTATAAAACCTCCATAAGTCCAAAATCAGTTTTTTTTCCGAATTTTCAAAAGGCATTGAATCTATATCTTTTCCCGAGTATATCAAAATGGTTGAGACTTTTAAATCGTGTTATTTAGCACTGAACAATAAACCTGTTAAAAAAGCAAAAACATAGAAAAGGTATAGTTGTAGTGAACGCAGTGGAGTGTCAACAACACTCAACACTGCCATATCTTCTCTATGCTGTCTTGGTCTATGATGCTCCAACTCCCTCCTCCCTCCATTTTGAATAGATCAGTCAGTACAGTAACAATCACCAAACATCGGCATTTTTTAAAGAAATCGTCCCCCTTCTTTGGAACTAATTCGATATTTTATTAGAAACTGCGCCAGTTGTGTTGTGTACTCCCACGCTGCAGAAGTGACGATTACTGATGCTTATCCAAATGAGTTTTAGTTATCCCGTGAGCCTTGCTGCATTATGAGTGCATTCCGCTTCACCGCCAGAGCAGCCTCTTGAACACCGTGAACATTTCATTGCTTGAACCGGTCCTCAACTCATTTCATCTCCTATGAATGTCGCTGGCGGCTACTTCCTATAATATCTCATCTTATTCACTAGCTTGAGTGATTCTGTACTTATTTTCAACCATTTCTTACTCAACTTCCATTTCCAACAGCCAGTCTCACAATGAGCGCAGAAGACAATTCATGGCGAAGCCCCCCTTTTCGTCAGAATGTTGTTCAGAAGATGTGAGTCAATTAAACTTTTTCTTTAAATTCCCCAATCTGTAGTTTTGAACGCTTTAAATTTATTTTAGAGGCGTGAGTGTATCCCATACGCTGAGCTCCATCACCCTGGAACTAGAGTACCTGTATAGCGAGAGTGTGGACAGATCGCTTCATGGAGGGCTTAGGGCCCAAAAGTGCAGCCACCCTTCTAACCAACTTCTGACGCACTAAATTTTACTGCCAGTCGGTAGATTCTAATTCTTACGAAGATGGCTAGGAAAGTACATAAATGAGCGTTCTTCCACAAAAATGAGTAAATTTATGCAAAAACTAAGTCAAATACGTGCTTTATAAACGATGGTTTGTAAGAATTGTATTAATAAATTGTTCTGGATAATTGAAATTCATAGGTTGGCTGCATTTCTGGGCCCTAACTTTATTCGCGGAGGCATCGGTGAAGGCCTGATGGATTTTCGGAGTTTCACATCTGTCTATACTCTCGCTATACAGGTACTCTACCTGGAACAAGTATGTCTGAAGTATCATACCTAAAACAATGCACTTCAATAGACAAGCATTGATTCAGTATACCTTCATGTTGTAGGCAACTAGCAATCTCAGGTAATTTACACTCAGCCGGCAAATTGCCTACTATTTGTCCTTTGCCAAGACAAAAGGTACTGATGGTGTAAGTCGGCAATCACACATCTCGTTTCCGGTGTCTGAAAATCTTTGCCTCTATGTTATTTTTTTAAGAAGAACAAATTGACATCATTCCTTAAAGGTTTTGCAGAATTTACTTTGTACAGAGAAGAAAAATCCTGGCACTCTTAAAGAATTGCTGTCGAGTATTTTTCCGTTTAAAAAATAAAGTATGACAGGAAGTCTGAGACGTTGCAAACCAAGTTATGTGATTGCCAACTTACACCGTTGATATGTATACTGCTCAGGCAATAATGAATTAAAAAATGACGAAAGAATGAGACTCGACGCTGAAGTGGCAAAAGGAAAAACCGGGAACACTGAACTTATGCAGATCTTCGATGAACAACAAAAAGAAGGAATTTCAAGGTTGACTGTTTAGTACATAGGTATCATGGGTGGCGGTAGCCACCTCCGGACAAAGTCTAAACTCGACAACACCGGAAGGCGTCCAAGCGAAAAAGGTGGCAGCCAACCATAGACACACGTAACTCCCTTATTCTGAAAATTGATTCGGTTCGAACTCGACTGCAGCCCAAACGACGGCACGGATTCCAACGATCTTGGTGTCTACTGACGCACCTAAATTGGGCCTACTAAGTGGGAAAGTGTCATCTAGATCCATCGAGTTTTCAAAAAGTTATAAGCACTTAAAGGCCCAAAATGACAAATATTTTTTGTTACATGGGCCGTTTAGTAGCGGGAAACCGACATGATTACCTTTCACAACAGATTTCTTGCTTACACGGCCATAGATTCTAATGGAACCTTCACAGGCACTGCTTGAAGATATAAGGATTTCATTTCTACCACATTTACCTAATAGGGTTTCAATGCTCGGATAATTCAGCATCGGCAAGTAACTTTCAAAATCTTAGGTACAATGTTTTAAATTTTAGAAAATATCCAGTAGTGGTTCAATGCCATTGGTCGATTCCGTTCAGTTCAGCCAGTCTAGCCCGTGTTTCAGGAACGAAATTTCCCTCGTCACCAACTTCCAACTCCAACAAGCTGAGAACAGATTTATGGTTTAATTATAATATAAGAGTTCAATTCTCTGTAGAAGCTAACTAATATTTATTCACTCTTATATTATTACGTTGCACGTCTTCTGCCAGAGCCCGATACACTATTTCATTAGTTTCTCTTAAAATATTCAAGTGAATAAGTGATGTCTTTATTCAGAAGTGAGGTTATCAGTCCGTGTATCTGTCTGACCCAAGCATCAATAAATGTAATTCAGGTAAATTACGGCGATAAAAGGACATCAAAGTTGTGCCAAACTATCAAAAAGAAGCAGGATTTACACCACAGTTTGCATTCTCGTGACTAACAGCATCCGAATATTTCCCTACCATGCACACCAATGGATCGAAGGGAGAGGGGGATGGACTCTCAGTTTTTATTAATTACATTATTGTTTTCCTCAAGTCACGAATGCTAGTTTCCATATCTTGAAGAGATGTAGTCGTTTTCAGTGGACCATATCAGTCTCAAGAAAAGATCTAAAAATTACTGTAATATGAGCCTTCGCCCATCACACTACTTGCGACACGGTCACTACGCTCCGACCAAAATTTATTCGCTTTAAATTTTGCTTTCAACCTACGTGCTCTGGAGTGCTTGTGCTTTTCCTAAGTGTATGTTATTGACATTAAGATCTTGTGTTCTTCATGACTAATCTTGGAAAGCTTTCGCCTCTTACCGTTGCTTGTTTACATTATGGGGATATGCAGGGATGCGAGGTATAATTCAATCACTAAGTCAACTTTATGTCCCTCAATCAGAGATCTTTGACGATGAGTATTAGCTCAAATTTGGTTTTCTTCGAGTCTCTTTGATTTTGCGTCAGAAGTTGTTAGAAACACCATGTGGCCAGTCAATGTGTAACAAAGTCTTTCATGAAAGGTATGTACTCGTTCTATTTTCTCAGCTTGATGATTACTATAAAATCAAGAATTTATATTGCTGCATAAATCGCTGGGCCAAGTAAGTACATAGCGCCCATTCCTTCTCTATTTTAACATATGAAAACTTGATGTAAACATATCAAATAGTGAGGTTATGTTATGGACTTACACTGGTGGTGCAGCTTCCGACTGTTAGATAATAAACCCTTAAATGCCATCCGGCTAACTTAGCTGCGTCCATAGACACCAAGATTGTTGGAATCCGTGCCGCTGTTTGCTCTGAATTCCATTCTATATCGAATCAATTTTCAGATTAAGGAAGTTAGGTGTGACTAAGAGTGTCCGCCACCCCTTTGCCATAGGGACTTTAGTAGGTCGTCATTTTCCTCGACCGGGGGTAGCTACCGCCACTCTTGATGTGAAAATATTGTGGTGTTGTTGGTTGTTGTGTCACAGAAGTATTCCATCTTCGCCTAGTGAGTTTCTAGCATAATTACTCCAGTGAAACAGTGCACTCTGAAATTAATTGAGCGTTGGGTCTATGTATGGTTTGCGTGACTACCCAGTAACCAAACCATGTACTGTGTTCCATTAAGAAATGGAATAAATGTAATCGGGTGAATCAAAGCCAAAAAAGATTAGACCAATCGGTAGCGTTCATGATCAAAAAGTTTGCGCCTAGGTACCAACTGCGGAACATGCTCTGATGAAGAGTTTGGGGGTGGTGTTTTTAGTCCGACAGCGGACAACAAAATTACTAGGAATTCTTGAACTACCAGGTAACTGAGAGGTAGCCTTCATTATCTTTTATGAATCAAAAGACTCAATTACAATTTAAATGCTTACTTCATGCGAGTTATATGATTCAACAAATTATGTGGTGAAGCGACTCTAAGCAAAATAAATCAAAATATTCTCCGCCAGCGTCAATATAGGTATACTGTATTAAGAGTGCCAGTAGCCACCCTGTGGTATTACAGTGTAGTATTTGCAACAAGTTTTTCTCTTTTTCAATTAATTTTCTGACTGAGGCCATTGTAACTTGAGGTTGAAATTCAGTCGATTATTACCTGAATCGCTCAAGTTCAACGGAGTGCATAATAGGTATATGTACAATTTTCTTATCTTCATGTTTCAAGTCACATTCCTAGACGTTATACTCTGTTAAAAGAAAAAATACTTTTGTGGCCGATGGAGCTTGGCTTAACGCACACTTTTATTGATAAATTAAATACCTCTTACAGGAAATACTTTTTATAATGAGTGAACCAAAAAAAAAAAAATAATTTTAACTCCTTGAATGGACTTTCCACTTAGTGGTCTCACTGTTATTTAATTTAAAATTTTAGTGGCTGAATGTAAGTATGTCCAACAGTTGAGTTAAACGCAGTAAAAATTGCAGAATTAATGTTGAAACTTTATGAGTGAGGAATAATTTATGCGGCAAAAGAAGTTCATTCTAAGTAGCCTACACTATGACAATTAATTAGTAATCCATCAGTTTTTAAAACATTAAGTACCCTATTTCGATGAGAGAAGTTTAAACTCACCAAAACATCAGGTAACTTTTATTGATTGCAAACTGAATCACCCCCTATTAATGTTTAGTTGATCAAACAAGGAGTTCCAGTTCTGCTCATTGATAATATTATTCTCAGTTTCTCTGTCTCCAGCCAAATGTTTCATTAGCTTCACATCATTCCAAAAACGACCTGATGTAAAAACGTAAAAACTACAAAAAACCCCAAAAAACTTTCAGATTCTAAGGGGTAAAGTATCCGGCCAAAGTCTTAAACTTGTTGAACCAAATTTTCTTATTACTCCTAAAAGAAAATTAAAAATTATACTTTACTGAAAATCGAATGTGGGGCCCCTTCATTTATGAGGGATGCAACAGTCATGACGTGTAAGTATGTTTAGCCCTTGCAGGAGCCCCTATTCCTCACCTATTTGCATTTTTATCTAAAGTAAAAAAAAATTGTCAGTTTGGATTGATCTGAGCCTTCTATGTGCTCCAAAACAATATGAAATATTTTATCGCACAAAGTCCAATATTTTTCGATTCAGGCGCTACAAATGCTTTTAAAAGATCATGAAAAAAAATAGTCAATGGGCTGGCTAAAGTCCAGTATTTTTCTTGAGAATAGTCTCCTCCTTCAATGAGTGATGCAACAATTGCGACATTTTTGTATGAAAAGCCCTTGCAGAAGCCTTTTTATTTGACTCAGCTTAATTTTTAAGAATCACTGACGTGTCCGCAAAAATGCGTAAAAAAGACAGGTCACTGAAATTAATGCTTCACAGAGATATCTGAGGATCCATGTCAAAACCCTCTTACCTATTCTACGCTGCGTAAAAAATAAAAACGCTATTTTCAAGCATGATTTTTGTTCTTTTACGTATTCATTAATTTTCTCTTAAAACAATTTTCAATATCTAGGTAATCTGGAGTCCTTTTCGATTAGTTCATTCCGCAGTGGTATATGATACAATGTTATGATAGCTTCCATTTACATGCATATTAAACTGCAGCATCATAAGTTGAGATTAAAAATATTATACAATAAATAAGTTTTGGGAGAAAGCAAAGGAAGAATGATACGCACGAAAAATACGCTGCAAGCAATCTTCCAGCAAGCAGAGGGGACAAATACTAATGATTACAGTAAGAGCATTTTTGTGGACACGTCAGTGATTCTTAAAAATTTGACAAATTTTTAAGAAGAAAAAAAAAAAAAGACAATTTTTTTTTACTTTAGATAAAAATGCAAATAGGTGAGGAATAGGGGCTCCTGCAAGGGCTAAACATACTTACATGTCATGACTGTTGCATCACTCATAAATGAAGGGGCCCCACATTCGATTTTCAGTAGATATAATTTTTAATTTTCTTTTAGGAGTAATAAGAAAATTTGGTTCAACAAGTTTAAGACTTTACCCATTAGAATCTGAAAGTTTTTTGGGGTTTTTTGTAGTTTTTGTATAGTTCTAGAAGAACCTCGCTCACCACAAGACAATAGGAAGGAACCCCTACCGTTGTGTTCATGGTACTATGTCACAATGTCAAACATCCCACCGGAGCTATGTGACTATTTACATTCAGAATGGCAGTGCAGAGAAAAAGGAAAAAGGAAGAGGTGCCAATAATGAAATTGATTGTGCAGATGAGGAACTGACAGCTCCTTCAAAGCGTGAGAGACAAATTCAGGAGAAAAGAAGTAAATCAAGTGAAAGCTGCAGAAAAAATGCAAGAGAGAACCAACTTCTTGCATGGCCCCTTGAAAGGGATTGAAGAAGTGTAATTCCTCAACTTCAAAAACCCAGTGCTGCACCAACCAGTTGAAACAACAGTTGCTGCTTTATTCTACAACACATGGAAACAAATAAATTTCAATGAAGTTCTAAATTCTAATGACTCGTTTGATTTATTTTAGAACAAAAAAAAATTTAAAAATCACAATTAAATTTCACTACAATTCTTAAGTGTAAATTATGCTTTTAATTTAAATTCTAATGCCGTGTTTCGTGAACTTTTAAAACCGAGAAATTGCAACTACTTAGCCACCTGCTTAACAACATAGTATCACACCAAACTTCAAGGAAAAACCTCATTGTCTCATCATTTTTCGATTCATCACTCGCAGCTCGCAGATTGCCTGAGATTGCTAATTGCCTGTGACCTACACATTGATTTATCCACGTTTTCAGCATTGAAAATTGTCATCATTGTTTTTTTTTAAAATTCATTTGGATGTGACCAATTTAGAATCCCTATCCTAACCTCTATATTACCTGACACCTGACCAAAGTTCTGAATCAGGTTTGTTCCTAAATGGGTTACATACTTAAACTGAGCTAAAAAGTCAGACCAGAATTACCGCCATCTCCTCTTGTCAGGTTAGGATGCAGTATATTCTATTCATTTTAGAGTCCACAACAATCAGTGATCCAAACTCATTTTTAAGTTTTAGGAGCCACATTGACTTTTTCCATTTATATCATGGCGCATTTAGTGAAAAGTTGATGTAAGATGATTTAGTTAGAACGAAATTGTGAATATTTGGAAAAGCTTTTACATGTATTACTGAAAGTTCTGAGCTTTTTCAGTTTTTTGAGTCATGAAAAGATCAAAATAAACTAAAAATTCTACTTCAAAGTTCAAAGAGAGAATTTAAGTAAGTACCAAGTAACTTTGCAGAATGAAGCAAATAACAACGCCATACTGTGTCGCCACACCGCAGCAAAGTCACGTGCGCAACTCTCCTCGACTGCCAGGCTGGTGGCGCAACGTTCCTACCAAATATTGCATGTATAAATGTCGCAAAATTCCCTTTCCAACGTAGTATTTATGAAACTGGCACTTATCTAGTTCAATTTCACAAAATTGCCGATTTTTGGTCAGCCTCCTTTAAGCTCACTGGCATCAACCTCATGACCTGAACATGTCGCGTAATGTGTAAATTTCTTCTGTAAAAGAAGAATGAATACTTATTATTGTGTATTTCTTTCTTAAAAATCATCATTAGTTTTTCCTAATAGTAATTTTTTCACTGCTTTTTTCACAGAGAAGAAGCTGTTAGAAGCTCAGGGATGACGCCAAGCAGAAACAGTTTGGAAATGGAAAATCATGTTTATCAAAAGGCCAAAACAAAGGTACTGAATTAAGTAGTGTTGCTGTTAGTTTAGTGTCATTTTAAACTAAATATTCTGATGATCTACTTACCCATGGATCTTGAGGAAATAATATGACATCTGACTCCTCACCAGCCGCTGAATGTGTCAGTTGTGCCAGTCACAGAATCTTGTTTTGATGCATAATTCTTGTAGATTAGCTAAAAATAATAAGATCCGTCTGAACAGCAACTTTCCTTGTTCAATATTAACCGAGATATCCCCCTGTGAAAAGACGGGTTTTTACGTCATCCACCGCGGTAGTGACACAGTGGTCTCTTCCACCTTGCCTTTATCCAAGTTTCAGGTTGAATAGCTGGTGCAAATTTGCGTCCCACTTACTGATGAAAGCAAGGTGGAAGAAACCAAGGGTCTCATCAACGCAGTGGATGACGCCAAGAACTCGACTTTTCAAAGGGCAATATTGTCGGTGACCAGCACAACTGACCCATTCTTTGTATAAATTGGTTAAAATCTCAGCTTAGGGGGGATGAAGGAAAGGAGGAAGGACGCTTATATTAGGTAATTATTTTTTACGAAATTGACTCAAACTGCACATTAGATGTTCATAATTTCAAAAAATTTCTGGAGGAAGCCCACAGACTCCCCCCTCCCCACCTACGAGGTCTGTTAGATTAGAAACCGAATTTTGGTGATAACTAGCCCACAATATGTCCGAATTAGATTTTCTTGGTCTTTCCTAATAGCTGATAATATACTAAAGAACGCAAGGTTCACAGATTTTGTTTATTATGATCAGTGTTCATTCTGTGTCACCAATATGAGTAAGTCAGGTGTGTTCTGTGATTTTTATCATGCGATCACTGACATTGCAAAGATTTACCATTAAATTTTGTTTTAAATTCGGTAAACCTTGTACCTTTTGGTATGCTAAGTAAAAGTTACCAAGATCATTGTATTGAGTTGTTCTCACTGTTTTGAGTGGGTTAAATGATTCAAAACTGGTCAGAAGTCCGTCGAAGATGAGGAGCATGGGAATCGACCATCAGCGGCAACTGACATTTGTCACATGGAAGAAGTGCAGGCAAAAGTGCTCGAAAAAAGTCGTCTCGAGCTTGCTGAACAGTGTAATATTTCTGAAGGCTCTGTATGACAGTTTTGATTGAATATGTAGACATGCGTCGAGTTTCGGGTACACTTGCCCCTTGATTGTTATACGTTGAACAAAAATCCAATTGCATGTCAATTTCCCCTTAGCTGCTTGAATGTTCCACTGTGGTCCACAGACTGGATTTAACGGAACTTTATTCGAAAATGCACTGCACCGCCATAAAAGGTGTTGGATCTTATGATTTTTGGGTCGCTGATTTCATTTTACATCTTAGTTAAACAAAATATTAACATCCTGACCGAGAAACTTAACTTCAAATGTAATTTCTGGCGCTTTTCAGATTGAAGATTTTTTCCACCCTATTTTGACATGTATAAAAATAATAACAAAAATGTCTCTCGGTCGAGATTAGGTTATTCTTATGTATTTTTAGGCGGTAAATCCGAATATGACCTCCGTTTTTGTCCATTACCCTTCAATTTTTCGGAAAAACCGATTTTACCCGGAAAAGCTCGTTCTCCAAGGAAAATTGAATTTTCCGGGATAATGAGGGATGATAGGAAAAATCTAAGGCCATATTCGGGTTTAGCAAGTCAGAATGCATAAGAATCGATGTATCGCACATCAAAATCATTTTTAAAATGTATTTTTAACACACTTAGAGTCCGGAAAAGGTTTTACCCAAAATGCTCGGGAAAATCGGCATTATCGGAGAACTGGTGGGTGATAAAAAAAACCTGGGTCATATTCGGATTTAGCAGCTTAATATACATAACAGAATCTCTTTACCGCGGGTCCAGTATAGTTTATCAACATGAATTGCAATTATGGCAAAAATACGTCAAATTTGCTCATTTTCCCGGAAAAAAGTCGCTTTTTCGGAAAAGCGAGAGGTTATAAGAAAAACCATGGTCATTTTCGGACTCAGTAGATCAAAATATATCGGAATACTTTCATTTTGTACCGATATAAAATTTAACAGTTGCAAAAACGCCAAAAATGCATGGAATATTCCACATTTTGATGCACGGAGGTGCACTCCGAAAAAAATTCATTTCGACCATTAGGCGACAAAAGGCGACATTTAAATTGGCCTCATTTTGAACTTAAGGATATGTAGAACAAGATTTTTCAATCCGCAAAGCATTAACTAGAATTAAAAAAAAAGTTGGAGCTTCCTAAAAATTACGAATTTCACTGATTTCTATCATTTTTTGGCGTATGTTTGCAGCGTTAAAAAGCATACAAATTTCAGTTCAAAATTAATGAAACTGGGTGAAAAGGAAGTCACTTGCCACCAGGTGGAACCATGTTGCCCAAAAATTTACATAGATGATGCGTAACTCGGTAAAATAAACACCTTATAACGCACCAACGAATGTGGCCCACAATCAGCTAATGAAGACCTGTCGCGCGCTCTGTTGTTAGGGTCCGTCACAATCTTATAAATCATTATTAGTCGATGAAAACTTAGGTGACGATCCATGGGAGTATGTATGATAAAACTGTAGTGCCAAACTTTAATTTTTCCCACCTTCAAAATTTGACTTAAGTTCCATTAAATAGGGTCTGTGGACCATAGTGCGTTCTAACAATGATCCTACATTTTTGGATAGGATAATTTTTGGTGATAAAACTTGAGGGTACAGCTACATTATGGAGATGAAACTTCAATCATCTTTGTGGGTTGAAAAAGGTAGTGCAAGACCGAAAGAAGAGAGACAAAGTTGGTCAAACATAAAAGTCGCAAAACACCCATGAGGTTGCCCTACTTCAAGCCACATATCAACGAAGCTAATCAGGATTTTTCAAATTTGTGATCATAGCGCTCTTAAGTATATTTCCAGCTATCAGGAAAGTTTAAGAAGACCTAATTCGGACGCATTGCGGGCTAGTTATCACCCAAATCCAGTTTCTAATCTAACAGACCTTGTATGTCTGTATCCAAAACCACCTATGGAATAGGCTCCTATGCTATGGCACCAACAGGGGTGCAGAAAGTTCCAAACTCTGACTGTTTGCCTCAATCTGGTGTTTTTGCTTTATGGTCACATTTCGAATTTTTAAAATGCTTGATTTCTTGGTAAAATATGCAAATGGTCACACTTTTTAAAAGCATTGTGAGGAGAAAAGATAAAAAAGAAGGAAATAAAGTCATTGTGTTTTAAAATGTTCTAATGACTCGAAATTTGCTACACTGTTGCAACTATTGTTTACCAACAACTTATCTTTGAGATTTTTGGAAGCAAATTGGAGCTTAGCTCCACAAACAATGAAGTGATCAGAAATGAGACCTAGGTACTTAAAGTTGTGAAGACAATTGGTAATTTTTTTTTTTTTTTTTTTTTTTTTTTTTTTTTTTTTTTTTTTTTTTTTTTTATAGGAGGAATACCTAGGTTTTGTTGCACGGCTAATTCTCCATGTGCGGGAAATAGGTAAGTTTTTATGCTTCAATATGATACTTGATACTGTAGGAATGGCACGTTACCCGTGAAATAACGGAAACGCGTATCTGGTTTGCAGTGTTTTAGGATCCCCACTATTTTATCAATTGAGAACCGATTCCAATCCACACAGGTCAGTCATTGGGCATCATTTTAGTCGCCTGTCCTTCACTTGATCCCAGCCAGTGTGACATTTCATTGGCCGCTTCCAAAAGAAATGCGTTTCATTTAAACTTTATGCCACGATGTGCAGTAAGGATCACAAAATTCCTCAATGGAAATGACTAACCAGTGCGGATTGGTCTAGATGAAAACAAACCAAAACTGTTGCCTAAAATCTTCTTAAATTATTCTTCACAGGAAAAAAATCAGCGAAGTTTTCAAGAAATGACCTTGAGTATTTTCCCATGCCAAAATTTAAGTGTGATAAGAAGTCCCAAATCGAGATACGCATTCCTGCAGTTTCACCACTAATGTACTTCTCTCATTAGGCACTGTTGGTTCATTTTCAGTTTTTAACAAAGTGAGAGGATTCTTTTTAGGGGCTCATGTAGATAAAACTGACTAATCACAATCCAGTATAAACCAGTAAAAACAGTTTCATCACCAAGTTTAATTAAGTCCTATCTTCTATTTTTTTTCCAAAAAATCTTAGTGGCACAATAAAACTTCACCTGCCCATGTCAGTGAAAAAGAGAATCTGTTGACTGGAGACAAAACAGAGCAAAAAATAATAAAAAGCTTTTTTTTATTTCAATATTGTTGCTTCTGAAGAGCAGTGCAAAAATGCAATATCCGGCACAAGCTCAGAAATTATGTTGCCCATCTTGACACGTAAAATCACAAGTAAGCGTGGATTTTTACAGAAGAAATATTCGACAGACAAAGAACCATGATAAAGAGATCAATGTGCAAATTTTTTACACAATTTCAACTGAAATTGATTTTTCTTGATAGCTGATATGGTACCAATCCTCATGATTGTAAGCACCAAATGTCATGCAATCCTCAGCCCAAAGCCAAATATTTACCTTTACGGGAGGAATGAATGGATGCCCATAGAAATAGAAAAAGTACTCAATTTCAACGTTATTGGGGGAATTAGTGAAGGCGTATGAGAAATGTGTTAATGATCCGATATTCTCTTTGTTTTGTGCGTTAGTTCTATCAGTTATCCTGAAAGTCATGCAACAAGTGACCTTACTAAAGAAAAATAGTAAAGCAGGGAGAACAGTTTTCCAAACAACCATTGTGTGAGAGTAGTGTGAAGTATTGTTAGAGATAGTAGTAACTAGGGGTAGATAGCTGTGAAAAAGGACCTTGAATGTCGTAAAATATTTTTGAAAAATTCCCTCAAGCATCTTTACATAACGGCTAACTCTTGTTGCCTCCTCACTATGTACTATGTGTCAAACTTCCATATGAGACTTGTACATGAGGGTTTGGGAAAACTATCCAGATATTGTCTTACTCAGATTTGTCTTATTCTTGTCCTAGTTCAGTTGCACATTTTTGGGAGACAACACATTCTGTTTGGCAAATCACAGTGCAAGAATGTCTGTGCTAATAATTTGCTAATTGCGGGGCTCAATTGCTCTCAGGGCCCACAAGAGAGTCCTGTACAAAATTCTAAGCCCTTTAATAAATTTTAAAGAGGTCACAAATGAATTGGTCTTTTGTATTAACATACTTAGGTGATCCTATAAGAATCTCCTGGAAATTTTTCAAGCATGGATACTGAAACTACTCCTACTACTGTACTGGAAGTTAACTCTTCATCTGTCAAGAAGTTTGACAAAAATAATTTGAAATGTTCAAAGTGTAAGAGTTAAGTTCATTTTCATTTATTAATCATCTCAATTCACAATGAATTGGCTTCAAATGTGTGCAAAGATTCAAGTAGTTTGAACTACTGATTACCGTAATATGGGGTGAATGGGAACAGGCGGGTGAATAGGGACAATTTTGATTTATTTCCGTTCTTCAGTCATTACTCGGTAAGTTTGGCACCTACAGAACTCGTTTTTGCCGAAAATGCATAGTTTGGCATCTTCTTTACTCAACCGGTGTAATCGGTGTTGTTTAGTGAAAACATAAAATGTCAACATAACCTCAAAACCAGACCTTGAAAAAAAGCGGTAAAACAAGCGTGATAACGTCCCATGCCAGTGGATCACGGATTAAAAAAAAGTTGTTTTTTTTATGCTATCACATTTTGACATCATTAGTTACCTTGCTCATCACCAAAAATGATGAAAGCTGGATATTCAGTTGGTTTAAAAAATATTTTTCTCCAAAAAACGAGCAGTTAGGAGTCTGAATATCATAGATTCAGGCACTGGGAAGGGGCTTTCTTTGAAATTTTCCGCCTCTTATCACACCCTTTGGAATACTTTTATGTACCTATTTTATATTCTAAGGCTTTTGAATACTGCCTTGGTTTAATTGAGGAATTTATCTTTCAGATCTCACAATGATCAGGGCGTAAAGGACAATTGTCATCTGTTTGCTTCTTTACCATTTAATTTTTGTTAATTAAAGCCATGTTTTTCCAATTCAGATTCTTTTTTTTTTCTTTTTTTTTTTTTTAAACTCAGGTAGTGTCTCCATTCACTCTCCAGTTAGCAGAATGGGAACAACGCTTTATTTACATTGAAATCTGCTGGTGTCCCTATTCACCCCAGTGGAGGCTGAATAGGGACAGTAGGTAAAACAACAAAATTAAAATAGTTAAAATTTTCGTTTCATCAAAATTTTGGGGGAAAGTAAAGGTCTTATAAGGTCACATCTTCCTGTTGAAAAAAAAACCGATTTCTCGAAATCAGTAGGCCACAGACGTGTATTTGTATAAGAAACTGTCCCCATTCACCCCATATTACGGTACATTGTGTTCCTTGCCTTGTGCATCCTCTGACCGCACGGTAGGAATGGCTAGGAAGTCTATTTATGAATATGAAATAAATGAGGCTGATACTGGAAGTAATGCGAGGATTTTCTCCGACTGCTTTCTAATCAATTATGTTGAAGAGTAAATGTTCAACTCAGGAATTTACCGTCTGTTTTACTTACCATGTTTTGATGCTCAAAAGGATTGAAAAATTTTGTTGGAACCTACATCCTGCACTGTGGCGGAAAGTACTCTTCGTATTTATCTTCAAACCATGGTGTCCAGAATTAAGAAAAACCGGAATTCATCAAGGAATGAAAAGTCTCTGAGAAAATCAGGGAAAAATCAGGGCTCCACAATCTGGGAGTCTCTTCTTTTACCAATCAGAGACCATTTTGTTTTCAAATTTCGCGGAAATTTCAAGTACTTATTGTTCTCAATTTTTTTGTTTTTGCACCTGAGCCGCCATTACTAACCCTATAAATGACATTTTTGAATTTTCAAATCATTATGATAGAGAGACTTTCATTGACCAGATAATTAACATCAAGAACTCTTCTCAAATTATATATTTGATTGTGCACCAAGGAATCTGCTGAAAAATGAAACAAATTTGGTTTGTTTATCTGAAACTCCGGAAAATTATATAGTTTTCTCCAAGCAACTGCAGGGAAGAGGGAAAAAACTTCGGTCTCTCATCAAAGGATGAGCTCTTGAAAATCAGGGAATGAGCATAGTCCAGAATTCCACTCACCATGCTTCAAACTAATAATCTTACTAGTCACGGTACGAGAGAGTGAAAGGAATGTTTCCTGTCTCATTAGCATCAATCAGCTGCTGAAAAAACTCAGATGTACCTGATTTACCGTCGAAATTAAGCTGCTCATCAATTACGAGCTTTGGAAAAATTATAATTTTGCAGCCATATCAAACCATCTATAACTGTCACAAATTAATGAGGATTGCATCTGAATTTTTGACATTGGTTTGATTGCAGATCGGTGCCGCTTTCCCTCTTTCATCGAAAACACTGTGTGCAGGAAAACTCCTGAAACAGCCGAAGAAGTCAAAGAAAACGGCAATGTTTTCTTCACAAGGAAAATGTACAATGAAGCGTTGATTTTCTACAATAAGGCTATTCAATTGAATAATTCTTCAGCCCCATTTTTTGGGAATCGCTCAGCATGTTACATGATGTTGGGGAATTACAGCAAAGCAGCTGTAGATGCTAGTTCCTCCATATTGATCGACCCCGCTTATATCAAAGGTCACGTCCGATTGTTGAAGTGTTACATAGCTCTAGGAGAAGTTTCATCTGCCACTGAAACTTTACAGAAAATTCAGTCTATGGAGTCTGTGAGTAATTCAGTGCAAAATGAAGTAGAGATTCTTAACACTCTCAAGAGTAAAACTAGGGATGTGTTGAAAGCAATGGAATCTAAAAATTATGCTGCCGCCATACCACTGATAAATACAGCTTTATCTATTGCCCCTGCATCAAGTAATTTTAATTTTATGAAAGCGGAGTGTCATGTACACCTTCATCAGTTCAATGAGGCGAAAACGTTGGCCAACAAGATAAAAGAGGTCGATCAATCCACATCTGTGTTCATTTGTGGGCTGTGCTTTTATTATGAAGGCAACATTGAAATGGCCATCACTTGCTTTGAAACCTCTAATTTCCCTTCCAAGTCTCCAAACCTACAAAAATCTGTTGACTTTTTTAAGAAAGCTCTAGAGTTTAGGAAATTAAAATCAGAAGGAAATCAAATGTTCGAAAGGGGTCAGCTTGCAGCTGCATACGAGCTCTATTCTAAAGGGCTTAATATTGACCCAACAAACAAAGCAGCTAATTCGAAGTTGTACTTCAATCGTGGCACTGTGAACTTCAGATTAAATAAATTGAAGGATGCGGTTTTAGATTTTTCTCAGGCCATAGATTTTGACAACAATTACTTCAAAGCCCTCACCAAGAGAGGTCAGTGCTATATAAAGTTAAATGAGTATGAAAAAGCTGTTTATGATTTTGAGAAAGTTTTCAAAAATGAGCCCACTTACGAAAACAAGAAGATGCTTGACGATGCAAAAGCCATGGCGACTCAGTCAAAAAGGAAAGATTACTACAGAATTTTAGGTCTTGCCAAAACAGCTTCATCGGACGAGATCAAGAAAGCTTACAGGAAATTGGCATTAGTCCATCACCCGGATCGCCATGTAAATTCTTCAGAAACGGAAAAGGTTAACGAAGAAAAGAAATTTAAAGAACTTGGTGAAGCGTATGCTGTGTTATCAGATCCAGTGAAAAAAGTTGACTATGACAGAACAATATTATTGTACAATGCTCCCACCCACCGTTACACACACACGCACACTCACCCTCCCTCCGCACCCACATCTGCAGGACCTAGTGCTAGTGTTTTCATGTCTCGGGCCACAGCATTTTGGAAAACTGGCTCTTATACACAAGCTCGAGAAGCAGCCATGGAAGCCATCAGTAGAGATCCCCTATGCATTGGTGCATATCTATGCATCTTAAAATGCCACATAGCCACCGGTGACATTGGATCTGCGGAGTCCTTGGTCTCACAACTGCGCAGAAATCATAGGTTACCTAATAATGTACCTGATCTCAAAATTCTGCAGCGTCTTAAACATTTAAACACCGCTGCAGAAAAGCACTTGAATAACTCTCAGCACTTGCTTGCACTCAGACTTATCAAGGAAGCAAGAGACATCGCGCCAGCCTCAATTGTTTTAAAATTGTGGGCAGCAGAGTGTCTCTTGTATCTAAAGCAAGAGCTCGAAGCCAAGAAAGTCCTAGAAACCATCGGACTGGCTGAAACCCACTATTTAGCTCCTCACTTGAGGTACGTCAGTGGTTTGCTCCACTATCTCAAATGCGAGTTTGATCAGGCAATTTTTATTTTGAGTCATAAAGGGAAACCCTCACCCCTTCTTTATGCACAGCGATGTGAAGAATTAGCACAGCGTGCCAAAAATCTGAAGCTTATAAAAGAATCCGCCAACGATGCATATTCCAAAGTACAGTATGACAAAGCTATCGCTTTGTACACACAAGCTTTGAGACTTGATCCACGTTTGGCTAAGTATAACTCTGTGATATTTGCAAACCGTGGTGCTGCCCACTTTCAGCTCAAAAACTTTAAAGCCTGCATTTCAGACTGTTCTCAGGCTTTGAGACAGGATCCATCTTATCAGAAAGCGCTTTTAAGACGTGCTCAGTGCCACACAGAACTTCAAAATTATACTGTAGCGCACAGAGACTATTCAGCACTCTACAGCCTTAGCCAAAATCCGGAGCACAAAGATCTTATGCTTCGGAGTGCAGAACTAGCAGCCCATAATAAATCTGTGGTGAATGTTGATTCTGATGAAGATGATTCTATAGATATCAGTAAAATTAAGAAAAGTTCTCGGCAAACTAAGATGGGCGAATATATTGGGAAGAACCTCCGTAAGAGGACCAGGCAAAATTATAAAGTTGATTCTGGATCAGAAAATAATGAAACAGATTCTGAGAAAGCTTCCAGTCCTAAAAAAAGTAAAAATTCTAGTAGCGATGAAGAAACTGTAAGCAATGAAGAAGTTGGAAGCAAATCTGAAACCACCGAACCGTGTTCATCAAAAAAACCATCTGAAAAAACCTGCACTAGCAAGAGCACCAAAAAACCTGCCAAAAAAACTGTAGGAAACAAGAAAGGAAGAAATGCAAGAAAAGTAAAGTGCGTCTCCAGTTCAGAAAGTGAATCCAGTGCAGAAGCTTCCATTCAGTCTATGTCAGAAAGTGAATCTAGTGATAGTGAAGAAATTTTTGTGAAGAAAACTATAGGCAAGAAGCGGAGCAAAGTTACCATAGACAGTGATAGTGATGTAGATCTGAGTGAAATTAAGAATTCATACAGAACCAGAGTTATTTCATCGAAGAAAAAGTTTTCAGAGTACAAATACAAGAAAGTTGTCGGGGGCGGACGGAAAAAGTAAAATTCTAGAATAGCTCCTCTCTAGTAAAAATACTAAAAAGTAACCAGACTCTCATTGGGTCATTCATCACCTAACCATTTAGTTTGTCAAAACTTTCCCCTCATGAAGAATGGTAATATGTACCAAGCATCAAACCATTTTGTTATTAATACCTGCCTCGATGAAGTCCAATAAAATGTAATAAAGAAATAATCTCCTTCGGATTTAGATGTTATAGATTAATTTTATGCACCAACTAAACCACCCTAGAAAGATTTTTTAAAATAATATATCAGATTTTTTCGGCATTTATTTTGAAATTGCAAGGTTTAGCCACTCCTTTTTTTTACTCATTCCATGTTACAAGTGAGGAAATTACTACCTATTTGTTTTTAAAGGAATCCTTTTTGATTTGTTGCAATAAATTTGGTTATATTTTGCATAAAGGAATATCTTAATGTAATCCTTTCCTACATGTACTTTTCTAAAAATCGCATTGAGGTATTCAGCCCCTATCTACATTGAAGCAAGTTACTCTCACATTTGCTGAAGCAGATAAACATTCGTTTCAGTTCTAATTTTAAATGCAAAAATAATCGGGCTATTCTAAATTGCCTTCTGGCAATGAGATCAATTGCCATACGTCCAAAATGTCAAATCTTACACAAATTTTTAAGTTTCAATATCTGAGTTGCAGTCACACTAAAGTTAAGTTGATGGATTTTAAATAATCATCGTTAATGTTGTTTTTGTTTTTTCTGTAATATTCTCCAATTCTATGAGCTGTACTAGAGCACCGCTGAACAATCTCACGAAAGTCAAGTCTAGTAATTTTAATTAAGTAACCTTAAGATTGTAAGATTTTCCACAACCATTATGTGAAACAGTTAAACATCAGGCTTTGCTAAAGCTGCCACTACACATTTTGAGTCCAAAATTGAAAATTCTTAGATTTTTTACGGAACCTCTGCAATACTGCTCAGTATTCCCTAATCCAGTATTTTCATATCATTCAATTAGTAATATTTGAAGTATAAAAAGAAAAAATAGAGGGAGGAAAAAAACAGTACATTTCAATAGACTTATGATTAAAATACTTATTTGTTTCAACTGAGGAAGGAAGCATTTTGAGGTGTTGATATGATCTCATCAGATAGGCTGCATTTTGCAATTCGGAACTACAACTTCTGGTTTATCAGTGTAAACGCTTTTGTGAAAGAGGAAAACGAATGGTCCTTCTTTCTAAACTGAGCCAGAAATTAAAGTTTCAAATCGCAAAATGCAGTTCAGATACTGCCAGATCTCCTCAGAATAAAAACTAAGAGGAAGTTAGACAATGTGAAATGCAGTTGCACTACGTTTTGTAAATAGGAACCACGATTTCTGGCTCAGATTTGTCACAATGTATGCGCCGTTTATTTCCTTAAGCATATACTTGTTTTTACAGACAAGCCAAAAATTGTTGTTCCTAATTGTAAATCGTCCAATTATTGTTTCCAATTATCAATCCTAGTTTAATTGAACATTGACATCATATCAGGTGATATCACTATAGGGTGTAAGTGAGCCATTCTTTGCAGAAACAACGTACACGCTTTGCAGTGCCGCCCAAATCGTTCAACTTGCTGCATGATTTGTAGTTGACCGCCAGTTGGTGGTGGAGTTTAATTGTGAAATTTACCAATTGCCAAAACATGGCAATCAAATATTAATGCATAGACATGATTAATTTTACCACAGCCCTGAGGAATACCTAGATTGAAGGAATTAGTATCATGCTTGGCAATGCTCATAGTCAAACACTGACTTATGGTTCAATCTATCAACTATGTGGGCTATATTTTGCCATTAAGAGCCACAATTTCTGGCTCAGTTTAGAAACTAAATATTTACCGTTATTTTCCCTGTGCTTATAAGTGTTTTTTTGAATAAACCAGAAATTGTAGGTCTTAATTGCAGAATGTTGCCATTTAACAAGCAGACCCTTTGGTTTTTTTTAAATCTCTGGTTTGGTTCATTAAATCCAGGGTTGCCACAGTCAGGGAAAACCGGGAAATGTCAGGTAAAATGTCGAAAATATCAGGGAAACTATTAAATCATCTTCATTTCCTTTCTGGAATGAGTTTGAGATTTCGAACAACAAATTTTGCCTGAAAACTATTTTTAATTAAGCTTTCTTAACCATCCGTCTCATCTTCAATTGTCAGGGAATTCCACCAAAATGTGTCAGGGAATTTCATTTTCTAAATTCTGTGGCAATCCTGTAAATCGAAAGTATGTTGAGGAACCTAAGTATTCAGATGTTTTCTAATGAGTAATGTCAAAGATGCAATATTTGAATCTGCTAGTGCACGTAGGAGGCTAGCAACATTTTTATGAAAATTGAGATTTCAGTGATTCTGAGGGAAACTTAACCCAAAGTAAACTTTACCGTAGAAGGCAAGAACGCTAATTTTACCTCAGCTATGTCTGTCCAAACTTTACCCATGGGTAATTTATCCTAGTATAATTCTTTACATTCTTACTGGTCTTTCTGAAAATCGAAGAGGTTCTCATCTTTATTGGCATAATGTAAAATTGTCTTCATCGTCGGTAGTTTTGAAGCTGAGTTGAAGTATTTTTATGTCTGTAAGTTAAAAATTCACCACCAAAAGATCCTCAGGCCAAAATGTTTGTTCATTTTTGTGTTTTGATTTTATAGGCTCTAGCAATCAACCCAGCGGAGGTGTTCCAGGTGTCAATGGTGGTGCTCTTGGTCCACCGGGACCGGGTCCTGCACAAGTGACTGCAACAAATTGTAAGTATTACTTATATATACAATATTCGTGTCGATAAGCATAGACCATGGTGGCTGGACTGAGGGTAAGCGGTGAAATCTGGGATGCATCAGGAAAAATAATTTTTAGAAACATTCAGGGAAGCTGTTCCAGAAACCGGGAGTCTTTTCTTCTACTGCCTAGAGCCATTGCATTTTCAGACTTAGCGGAAATTGAAAATAAGTACTCATTGTCATTTAGGTGTACTGCGCCGCCATTATTGACCTCTTGAATGACATATTTGAATCTTCAAATGATCATCAAAGTAATAGAGATGCTTTCATTGGCCAGATAGTGTTAACATTAAAAACTTTTTTGGAATTAAAAAATTGAATGCGTGCGAAGGAATCTACTGAAAGATGAAAAAACTTTGATATTTATATCTCGAACTTGGGAGATTTATATGGTTTCTCCTAAGAAAATCCCGGGAAAGTGGTAGAAAACTGTGGTTTCTTATCAGAGAATGAGCTTCTAAAAATCGGGGAAAATCAAGGTATGAACATGGTCAAGAATTCTAGACATCATGACTTAGTGGAGACATCTCCTTGCAAATGGCAGGGCGTGTGATGTTATCCACTGCTGTGGTGCATACCATGGTTTCTCTCATCTTGGTTCCATCCGTATTTTAAATTGAGCAAGCGACCAGTATTTCTTACTTATTCAAGGATTATAGGATGAGAAAACCATGGTATGTATTACCATGGTGGATGATATCACACCCTATGTTTTTCAAAGAGACAAATATGTCTATGTTTCTATCAATATTAGCCGTTCTGGACGCGCTTTGCGCGTCCGTCACGGGTAGCCAAGGGGCTACGCCCCCTGAACCCCCGATCACTCGCTACGCGAGTGACATTCTCAGTGGTTAGACATTTGATCACTAAGATGTATACATTTTGGAGACCCTGGAGGCAAAAATTATTTCGTCACAGAACCTTCTTGCCGGAGCGCGCCATCATTTGCACATGAATAGATGTGTGGAGATGAAGCGATGATGGGGATCGACCATTTCTTCAAAAACGCATTTGACTGGGACGTCATCCCATCGGGTGGCGGAAAAGGACAATCCATGGATCTCCTTCCGCGATTTGACTCGCTGAAGTAGCAAAAGTTCATCTTTACCTCTTAGGAAGATTATCGGTAGCGTAGGGGTCTAAAAACTGCTCAACGATAGTATATTTCGAGTTCCGAATCGCAATGAGCCCACTCGTGTTTTTTTCTTATATTTTCATCGCATATAAATTTCTCTGATGTTTTTGTTTTACTCTCTCTGATTGCATATTAGTAATCATATCCTCATTTCATTTCCTTTCCCTTTCCTTTTTCCCTTTCTGTAGCATCTGTGTCCATTTACAATTACTATCATTTTCAAATAGCTTTCCCCTAGTATACAATTGATGCTTCAAACGGAATCGATTGTTTTAATGACATTTCCGGCTAAATCATGGGGTTTCCCAGGAAGGCAGCCTCTTGTCCCTCCCGGACTCTATTGTTGCCATGTAAGTTGCTTTTTTAGCACTTTTCCCAATTCAATTCCATGTAAAATATTCACATTTATCGCACAATCTGGCAACCTCTCAAGTGAAATTGAAAAAGGTACATATAGAATCGCTGAAAGTCTGAATCCTTCGAAGTTTATATTAATGATTGGACGTAGAAACTAGGGGCTTAAATGGATCATATTTTTTGGCCACTTCATACCCTTAAACCATTGAAACATAATTCTGTAGATGACACAATTGACCGGTTGTAGAGTTTTAATACAGAACTGAATTGCTCGCAGTTTGCTTTTTGAGATAGGGAGTGTTCTTCTTTAAATACTGGAATCTGATTTTCATGTTTATTTGACAAAAATCCATCATGTAAAAGATATACCTCTGTTTTTTCCTGTGCTGCCAAGCCAAGGAGAAATGCTGTATGCTCATCCTCATGTTTCCAAATTTCCCTTCATGAAACATTAATTTTTTTATGAATTTAACGAATCTTTTTCTTCGTAATTCTTAGACACTATCCTTTGAGTTGCGAAACGTCCAAAAGCTCTACCAGCATATCTTCCTAGCCTGGCGGTGTGGACAGTTACAATCGTTTTCAGCCAACTCGGTGCAATTTATGCAAAATTATATCTTATCTCATTTTTATGATTTACCCAGTGTTACAGTCATTGAACCAAAGACCGGGGCTTCAACCTAAGCTTCCTGTTCAGGGGATGAATCAGATGGGTGGGCCAATGGGTGTCCCAGTGTCAAATCAAATGGGAATGCCACTTGGTGGATCTCAAATCAACACGAGCACGGGTGCCCCAATAGGGCCGAACAGTAACATGCCACCCATGATGAGTTCCGTTGGAGGACCTGTGAATCAACTCCCTGGACAGTTAGGAAATCAGATGCCTAACCAGATGGGCAGTGCACCGATGCCTCCTCAGATGGGCCCCATTGTTCCTAATCAAATGGGTCATCTCCAACGCAAAGTGAGTTTTTATTTACCTGCAAAAGGGCTAAAATATCTCAAACAAAAATAAAAAATCATAAATTAGCGACACTTTTGATCATCAAGGACTAACAGTGCCCATAACACTTTGACTGTGGGACGATAATTGGACTACATTTTGTAATTATAAACTACAAATTCTATCTCAGTTTAGAAACAACTTATGTACCATTAATTTCCCTGTGTACATAAGTGTTTTTACGGTTGAGCTAGAAGTAGTTGTTCTTAATTCAAAATGTAGGCCAATAATGAGATAATAATTTGTAAAATAAAATAATTAAGCACCCTGAGAAAACCATTTCATCCCAACACTCACTAAAATGACTATCATGCCCAAATTTGACTCAAGTAGACTTAGGTTTTTTGTGGAGCAGAAAATTTCAACTCTCAAGTACAGATGAGTACTCACTCATAAGTTGAAGTCGAACACTTCCATATTTCTCTATAGCTCTCTCTAAAATTTTGTTGAAGGGATAGTGCCGAATTTCTTATTTTGTCCTGTGATCCATGGAGTGCATTTACTAGATTGGCTGGGAAGATCCTGGAAAATGTTAAACGGCTAATACCTACTTTTAACAGAAAAAGTTCTCCCTAATCATCATCATGAATTTTTTTTCTCTTTTTTTTTCCATCTTCTACGGCATCATTTATCAGTGCATATGTACCTCATGGGCTTTAAATGTTTCTTAGTTGGTAATAACTTTCTTCCATTCATAACTCTTTGTTTCAGAATCAGGAAAGTTTAATTGGTGGGCAACCCTCCGTTTATGCTGCCCCCAGACCTGTGGCTCCGAACCAATTTCTGAGGCGAAGTCCAACTTCGCCTACTCAGCAGTCGCCAGTTGGGCTTCCAAACTCGTAAGTTTCTGATAAATATCTTCATTCTAATCTCCCAGTATTTTTTTAAGTATTTTTTGTTTGGAAAACTTTCAAAGAGGAGCCTCAGCTGAATGTTTGACTCACAAGGGGACCTTACACTCATACCTCCTCAAAATTGATCGCTTGGCCAAATGGTAGTTCGTGAAAATCCATTGGATACGTCTTTTCACACGAGGTATCCAATTATTTTCATGACCTACCATTTGGTCAAACGGCGATCGATTTTGAGGAGGCATGAGTGTAAGGTCCCCCTGTCATATTAACATCTCTCTAATGAGACAAATTGATAAGTCACCTATATTTGCTTTCTAAAATGGATTTAATTTTCCGAACAACAAATTTTGCCTGAAAACCATTTCAATGTGTTTTTTAACCATCTAACGTCTATTCAGTTGTCAGGATAATTTATCAAAATGTGTCTGTGATATGTTAAGGAATTTTATCTTCTATATTTTGTGGCAACCTTGTTGCATTGTTGACATTTTTACTTCTGAAAACTACTGTGGAACATACCTCTGATGCCGTCCTCTAGGCGTCCTACACTCTTCTTTTTCTTTTCTTGATGGCTTTTAGCACATTATGCAGGGTGTTTCCCTCAGTGTCTAGGAAAAAATGACATGTCTGACTCTATTTTATTTTCCAGCACCTAGCCTGTTATTGGTTGGCCGATTAGTGTGCGTTAACATTCGTTGCAATAATTTTTTTATAATTTTTCAGATCACAGATGCCGTCTTCGCCAGCTCTAGCACCTTCGCCAAACCCTCAGATTTCACAGAGCATGCGACCTCTAGGTAATAAACGTATCAACATTCTTATCATTGCCAACCGTAGGATCATTAGAACAAACAGCAGTATTTATCACCTACTTTTACTAACAAAATCTTCAAAAATGAAACAAATATTTTAGTTGCCAGTTACCTAAAATAACTTACGTAAATAAAATCATAGTAAATATTTATAAATTACTTTCAAAAATGCTTATTAAATTACCAAGCATAAGTGCAACTAGTACTGCGTTAAATTTTGATGAGACAACATGATTGTAGAGCCTAATTTCTGGCCCTGTCTATTGGTCCTTTATTCTGACGTGATAAGGAAAAACGCTGTATGGGCCTTCAGGCGTTGTCAAATTTCTTTTGATAAAATACCTCTCTTTTGATACCCCTCCTATTCTCTAGAGAATATCATTCACAATCAAATCTAAAATCTCTAGAAATTTCATGTGAAAATGTTTGAAACTTTCCTTAAAAATTAACATCCTACCGAAGGAAATTTTGAAACTTTCAAATGTTCATGCGTCATTTTTCCATGGCATGGTAGTATTCTGCTCTCCTTTCTGAAAGGTAGACGGAATGAGTCACCTCATTATCAACGCATCAACCCTCTTGAACCTATTGAATGAAGAGATTTACAGAGCTGGAATATCAATGATCGTAAGTGAAAATCCATCACTAATGAAGAAAACCAGAGAACACGGAAAAAAGCAGGAACTGCTCTGAACCTGCTTGATTTTTCTCTCTCTCTTGCCCTCGTCTCACATGCTTTTCTGATTTTTGGAAGGAAAATCTTGAATAATTCAAATTTTGATCAGGTTAACTAGAACCTTAAGGTAAATTTGGAAGATAGAATGTAACCAATGGACCTTCCCTTGCAGTTTTTTAGTATTCTCTTCTTTTGAGCCGCATAAAAGTGACCTCCATGCATGGAGACGTAGGCCTCAGAATAAGGATTTCATCAAGTGGGATTGAAAAATCGAAAGAGTTAGTGACAGGAAACATGGCGTATCCAAAAAGCTAGTTGTGAGCTGTTTGGTTAATTTTTGTGCCAACGAATGGCTTAAATTTGCACAGTTTACACCTCACAGCTTTCCTCCCTTTCATCATCTTACCCATTCTACCAATTTGTATGTATTCCTCTATTTTTTTTCTTTTGATCCAGGTATTGCGTCATCTCCTAGCAATAGCACTCTCAACACCCCTGGTCAGATCCAGGCAACACCATGTCCTTGCAACTCTCAGGAGGATCAGGCATACCGAGATAAAGTGAAACAGTTGAGCAAGTACATAGAGCCACTGCGCAAAATGATAGCCAAACTGGGCGCCGACGGTAATTTAGAACTCTAACTTAGATGCAGCAAATTTAGGTACCCAAAACTCTGGGCTATTTGGATCAATTGAGACCATACCAATCCAGACAGTGATTAAATGCGGATAATAATAGTTATCCGTGGATATCTGCAGGTATAAGTATGATAGTTTAATGCGAAAGAAAATACTCAATTGAAGGGCCGGATGCACAAAGGGAAGACCTATTATGTGGGCTGATTATTGAAGTCGATAGTCAAAGAAGACATAAGGCGTATAGAGCGATCCTATTGATTGAAGTGGGTGGCTCCTATCAACTGAGGGAGGAAATGATGGGCTATTAATAGGGTCTTTCATCAGTTGCTGTTATTTAGTCTATTACCTACCTCTTTTGTTCATTGCAACCATCCGCTTCCACCAATAAGATCCCTTCATATCTCTTTTGTCTTCTTTGTTTATCAAATTCAACAATCGACCTGCTGTTATAGTTTGTAGAAATCTCCTGGTCCATCATTTCATCTCTTTTGATCGAAAGGAATGTACTTAATTTATTGAAACTTATATTATTGAATATTCTTTTTGATTGCAAAGTGCTCTAAACAAAAAATGCTAGAAAATTCCCCTAATAGTTTCTTACTGGAATTATAAATTAGCAGTGGGTTTCTAAAACTCTATAAGGAAGAAGTACCTTTTCTGCACCCAAAACCTCAATTACATCGAAATATTATTGAATCAGAGCACGTAACATGTCTGGAAGGATCATTCTTCCCCAAGAAAACACTTTCCTTGACTTAGGTTGTGAGCTCATTCAGAAAATTTGTAATGATGGAAATTAACCTGAAATTAATACCAATTTCGTAAACAATATTATTAGTGACAATTTTGTGCCGAGAACTGTAAACCAAAATTGGCCTGCCTTGGTCAAAAATATTTAAAGTCTATTTAGCACTGTATCCAAATAATTGAGAATCTCCAGTCACAGCATTTATTAATAATCATGAATTTTGTTTTCAGATGAAAAATTAGCGAAAATGAAAGTGCTCTTGGAACTTTTATCTAATCAAAGTAAAAGAGTGACTCTAGAGACGTTATTAAAGTGTGAAATAGCTCTAGAAAAATTGGATCTAAAACGAGTGAGTATCTCTTTCAACTAATTTTCCCTGCTTATCTGTCGGCAATTATGCCGAATCATCCTCTCGGAAATTTTCCTCCCTCTAAAAAAGGATGTGGAATTAAAGAGAAATTATAGAAAAGTAATATTCTTTGTAAATTTCTTCTTTCGATCAAATGGAACGAAAAACCAAAGAAAAGTAAATATGATAACAAGTCTTGAATGCATAAGCTTAGGATTTCCTATAAAACCATTATCAACAAAAATAACTCAAGTATGCCAAAAATCTATAATATTTGATAAATTTGGGAGTGTAGCAAGAGTTTATGCCTTCAATGGAAATCAACCCAACTACAGGGTGTCCCAGACCACCAGCACCAGGCCTTTTTCTTGGTTGGTTTGGGTCATTTAAAGTCAGGGACCGCACGGTTGACAATTTCTTAAAACATTTTAAGCCAAGTAACACTGAGATCTCCCGAGTTTCCTCTATAAATTGGCTAATTGTGCTAACAGTTCATTACAATATGATGAGAGGATAACAGTAACCTGTCAAAAAAATTAAAAATCACTCATTTTTTAATCTATTCTTTCTTAAATTGTTCTCACACGTTTTACTTTTCAACAGAGAACTTAACCACTTAATCTTTCTGCAAATTTACCGTGGAGAATACATTCACAAGATTTTAGGTTGAATTCTTGCTTGGCTTGGCTTTTCTTCTTGGCTATTTATTTCTTTTTAAGAAATAAGTAAATTATCAGATCAAATCATCATAATCATCAGCAATCCTTTTTTTTATAATCAGTATTAAGCAGAAAGTTTCATATCCTGCTGAAATGAGCATAATTTTTTCTGAAATAGATGGTCTCAGAATTTTACTCTCGACTATCTCAAAGACTGAAGGGATAAGTGTCTATTCAATCTAAAATTTATGAGATTAATTTTATGGGCTCTTCATTGTGCCACGAAAACCTAAAATAAAGGTCATTGTCAGGTGCTTCCCATTTTCTTCTAATGGGCCTGTTGCAAACTTTTGCTAGAGCAAAACTAAGAGTTGTTTCTTATAGATAATACCTCAAAAATCACGATGAGCGCATCGGCAAAGTCTGAAATGCACTCATAACTTCACAATCTGCGTAAGAAATTTGCGGTTTTTTGAGCTTCTCGCTTCAAAAACGATACTACGGCAAAGGTGAACATTTTGTTAGAGGAGTCGTTCCATTGGCGGCAATACTCATCATGGCCGACGCCAATCCGCCAAAACACGTGTGATGGGACGAGATGACACCTGAACAGGATTAAATCAGATAACAATCGGCGTGTTTACGTTCATATTTTCCTCGCCCGCCTTGATTGACCTTGAACTCTCCTTGAATTACGCGAGGAACTGCGCAAGCGTCGGCCATGATGAATATTGCCGACGATAGAGCGACTCCTCTAATAGAATGTTCACCTGTGCAGTAGTATCGTTTTTGAAGCGGGAAGCTCAAAAAAACGCAAATTTCTTACGCAGATTGTGAATTTATGAGTGCATTTCAGACTTTGCGGATGCGCCCATCGTGATTTTTGAGGCATTATCTGTAGGCAACAACTCTTAATTCTGCTCTAGCAAAAGTTTGCAACAGGCCCATTGGAAAAGAGGATTAGCTTGACACAACTGCTTACCTTCAGAAGAGTTTTATTAAAAAGAGATTGCTTTTTCAACCTCTTTCAAGGCCGAAAAACTTAAAATTAAGGTCATCAACTGAATGTTTTGAAGCTTTTTAAATATCACATTCATTTTAAAATGTGAGAAACTGGCAAAAGTAATTTCCTTTGATCATGATTTTTTTAATTCAGTTTTAAGGGTTTTCCTGGGTTTAGAGTTTAATTTTTGATTCATTCCTTCTTGTTCGGAATGTAAAGAAGAAGATTTAAAATATTTCCTCTTAATACAGGAGGCATAATTTTAGCTCTCAGATAAAGTTTGACAAGTGACTGACCGTTTTTATTTTTTTCTTTCTAGGGAGATGGCAGCACTGGACCATCAGTCACAAGAGAACTCCATCCGTTAATCGAATGCATCAGTAATCACTGCCAAACATCGTACATAAATCACAGTCTTCAAAGATCGTTTGCAATAAGCTATGAAGCATTTTACGGAGAAAATATGAAGTGAGTTCTGAAGTATTGTTCTCATTTGTTTCTTCCTAACCTGTGCACCCAGTCCAACCATTTTGAATAGGCACTGAAACTGTTTTAAATGATGAAAATCTGTTTAATGTTTTAAAATGGCCTTGCATAAGTCTCTTTGACGAGCCTTAATCAAAGCACCATCACTGAAATACTATACTCTGTTTGTAATAGTATCCGCTACGCATAAATTTGAAGTGAATTGAAAGATGCCAATTATCTACAGAAATTGTCACCTATAATTGTAGCAAAGCCTGGGCCCATTTCTTAGTGTTTTCCTATCTTTTCTCAGCTATCATAAAGATTCAGTACACTTTAGATTTGCCAGACCTGCATGTGTGTGTTTAATTCTTTCAATTGTTTGAAGCACATATGGAAGAGTACACTCCTCATAAGACTTTTTAAGTATTTAACAAAGTTTTTGTCATTAACATAATTTTCTGACAGGGTGTTAGACATTATAAATACTGAAGAAAACCAACCCTAACCGTTTTTGTACGATGGCTTTTTAGGTTGAGTATTGTGTATCATCCAGCTTGTCTCAAGAATATAGGGTGTTCCAAAAGGCCCCCCCCCCCTTCCCTCTAACTTTTGAAACATCCAGGATAGAAAAACAAAACTTTGGGAATATTTCTATTTCTTAGGGGTCCATCTTCTGGGGAGGGGGGTCAAAATTTTGGCCCCTCCCTCGGTGACTAGGGGGCCCCGACTGTTTTTCCAAATAGGAACCCCTATCTTGTGATACCTCATTGCAACAGGCAATAAAAAGTAAGAATTTTAGCGCAAAACCGCAGATCAATATCTGAATTTTTGACCAAGTTATGATCGTTCAAAGGTCCAATTTGACCTATTTTCTAGAAATCATAATTCTGGTTGATAAAAATAATAAAAAGGAAATTTTACCAAATTGTGAGCAGTGAGCACTACTAAGTAAAAATCTTAGGAATCATTTCAAACTAATTTTAAAAGGAGTTTCAAACCCCCAAATACGTCTGTTCAAAAGTCATATGTACGATCTTCTTGCAAAATGAGCCAATTTTCCGTAACTTTGCCTCTTCACTAGTTCTCTCCGTAAGTTCAAAAGTAGTTAAATGTTACGTTCTCAAGTCCCCAAATTTCTGGCCAAGTTCAAAAAAATAAAATTAAAACGGTCAAATTTTATCACCTGTAATTTTTTAGACGCCCTGTGCACTAGTTGCACCATTCACAAAATTGCTTTTTCATGGTCAATTTCTTTAGATTTGGAGGAAACATTAAAATATGCCCAAATAGTAAGTCTCTTTGTTCAATATCAACGCCAGAAATATAACTGTTTGAAAAACCAGGCGATTGATGTCATCTGCCACTAAAGTTCATTCTTTAGTTTCCTCCGTCACCATTAGTATGAAAAATAAAAGTTTTGTCTGTAAAATTTGATTTGAGTCAGTAAAAATGGGTTTCAGGGAGGAGGCAATAAGGCCCCTCTGTAATTGGAAAGAATAGGCACCGTACTCGGTGGGCTGTAGTTTTTTTAAGATACTATCCTCTTCATTAGAACTAAAATTTAGTATCTGGTCTTGTTACATAAGTATTGCAAACCCAGTTTTGATCAGTAAAACATGAGTCTGTGACCATTGCAACTGACGCATCATTGTGGTTTCTTTGGACTTTGAAAGTAGGTAATCTTTTTGGGAGGACCCCCATTCTGCAGTGCAGATTTTTAGTATAAGGCTTTAGTATCACTTCAACTCCTGCTCATTTAAGAAAACTACATAGTAGTGACTGTCAACCCCTCTTTTTTCAACCAGAGGCTTACCATCATCGTTGAAAAGGAAGAAAGAAGAGGATCCATCCAATGAAGTCCCAGATGTCATTCAGGGAGAAATTGCACGATTAGACGGTCGATTCAAGGTACTTTCAGCCTCTTTTTTTTACTAGACATATCTTAGAAAGATCAAAGAACAGCAAGAAAGCAAGCAAGAAGATAGCAAGATCAAATATTGTAAAACCCTGTGTCAAAACAAGTTTTCTAAGTAATCATCAGGAAAGAAATTATTCAAGGATTCCAGGAGTGTAAACTCCCCAGGATCCTGCTATCCTAGGACTGAAAATTCATATTCTAGGTAGTCGAAAACTGGAGCTTGCACGAGATCTAATATATATCGTTTTGTATCAGATTTTTCAATGGGCATTTCTTAGAAAAATTTGATCTGAATCTGCGCCTTTGATCCCTGAGACTATGCTGTAGTAAGCAGAAGCACTGATCATCCGACGGTGCAGCTGTCTCTGTATTGATGAAATTCTGAGAAAATTTCTAATATCAAGTCATTCTTAAAGCCTCAGAAATATTTTTGTATGTCTTTGATTATCCTCCAAAAACTGTTCAGAAATTCTTGACGCTCTTTGTTTTTGGCTAATTAGAACTTCTAAGAAAGTCTTTGGATTTGAAATTCAGTTATGAACTCAGTCCAGCAGAGTTTCTGGAAGAAAAATCTCTCAAGAGGGTAATTTTACTATAAAGTTAATTTGGCCATCACATTCAGTCTCATCAATGATACCAGCGACAAAACAAATCATGTGAAGTTGACTGTTGAACATTGAATGGATTCAAACCAGAGAAAATGAAACATATATACGAGGGCTGTCCCAAAAGAAACCGGACTTTTGTCATAGAAGGCGAACCGAGCTTCGTAATGAAGTTTTCTTGGGTTTGTTTGAAAGCTGATAAGCTACTGGAGGTGCTTGTTTTTACAGAATGCAAAAATTCATCTTGGTAAGGAAACTACACACTTTGGAATGAAGGAAAGTCAAACTCGAGTTGCGATTTTTGTCTTTATTTCAAGAAAAATTTGGATACAACTTAAAAATAAACCCAGGTTTTAAGTTAAAAACTTCGTGGCTCTCTTATTCAAATGCTTAAAAATAAGGAAATCAACATTTTAAGCAGCTTACCAAGTCATCACCTATCCCCTGCTAAATACTCGCTAGCTTTGTCGATGCATTTTTGCCACCGTTTCTTCAATTGGAAGAAACACTGTTGGAAATCCTCAGATTTGAATGATCGCAATTCCTTCAAGGTGTTCTCTTGAATTTCCGGAATGGTTTGAAAACGTCGACCTTCCAAGGTAGATTTAAGTCGTGGAAATAAGAAAAAATCACACGGAGCCAATTCCTGGTTTCTGCATCACGATAATGCACCTGCCCATGCATCCCTCCAAATCCGCGAATTTTGTGCAAAGAATGCCATGAGTGTCCTCACTCATCCCCCTTATTCACCTGACCTGGCTCCGTGAGATTTCTTCTTATCTCCACGACTTAAATCTACCTTGAAAGGTCGACGTTTTCAAACCATTCTGGAAATTCAAGAGAACACCTTGAAGGAATTGCGATCATTCAAACCTGAGAATTTCCAACAGTATTTCTTCCAATTGAAAAAACGGTGGCAAAAATGCATCGACAAAGCTGGCAAGTATTTTGAAGGGGATAGGTGATGACTTGGTAAGCTGCTTAAAATGTTGATTTCCTTATTTTTAAGCATTTGAATAAGAGAACCACGAAGTTTTTAACTTAAAACCTGGGTTTATTTTTAAGTTGTATCCAAATTTTTCTTGAAATAAAGACAAAAATTGCAACTCGAGTTTGACTTTCCTTTATTCCAAAGCGTGTAGTTTCCTTACCAAGACGAATTTTTGCATTCTGTGAAAACAAGCACCTCCAGTAACTTATCAGCTTTCAAATAAGCCCAAGAAAACTTCATTACGACGCTCGGTTCGCCTTCTATGACAAAAGTCCGGTTTCTTTTGGGATAGCCCTCGTATGTTCTTGGATATAACTGTCCAAAAAGTATAAATAATCTAAGATATCCATGGTGATTTCTCTCTTGCTCAGGTCTCTCTCTTGAAAACTCAGGATGTAAAATTCGATCCTCGCGGACTTCATCTACTGTGTTCGTTGGACGACCAGAAGCTGGCAAATATCCCACCAATCCAGATCTCTGTCCCTGATGGCTACCCGCAGAGTGCCCCTGTCTGTCACATTTCACCGCAAATGTACGGAACGACGCCATTCCTCCGATCCGTTCTTGAAGCTATGCAGTCGAGAATCCATCTTCTACCGTGCACCTATTCGATTTCGGAGCTTCTGAACATGTGGGAAATGAGCGTGCGCGAGGCTTCTGAGCCTCAGTCGCTTATGTCAGCCAGCTCAATGTTCATTCTTGACATGTGACAATGATGCGTGAGTCTCACTGAAATTTTCTCTTTAAACCCTTTTTCTTTTTTATTTAATGTACTTGCAGTAGATGAATACTTTGTGCAAGAAAGGAATCTCTCAGTCTAAGTGCAGTTTATTCTCTTCATATCTCAAATATGTATCTTTGACCGACAATTGTGGAACGGCCTTTGGGTTTCTCGTCATTCTAGCAATTGGTTTTCTTTCAATGATGATAGACTGTCTCTTTGGAGAATCTACTAAATAGGCTTTTTTACAACAAATTTTTATCAGTTATATTTCAACTCCCTATGAGTCAATTTTGTTTTGCCATAAGGAATGAATATTTGCATTCATATATACGTAATCATTCAATATTTAGATCAGAACAATTAAGTCGTTTGAGACGCAAGTTTGCCACAATACTGCTGTGCTATTCCTATGCCCTTAAAACCTGCGATGATGTTTTTTCCTTATATTTTTTAAGTTATCCAATACTTTTTTCAGCAAATAAGGAAAAACATCCTATCTCATTGCTCCTCGATTTTTTTATTTCCACTCAGTTAAGGTTTTCTGCCATTTTTTTTAGGGGCCCAAAGTAAGCTACGTCTAATGGTTGGCAAAGGTGAGTTGAGTTAGGTGGTAGGAGGGCAAAGCTAATTTCATTATTTTTACAAAGCTCAATGACACGATGAGGTATATGGCTAGCCAGATTATCACCCAAGATCACTTTTTGGCCAGGGGCAATTTAGTACAAAATGGGATCACTACATTAAGAAACCAATCCTCAGAAATTGGGGATTCGAACCAACCTGAGGAGGTTCTGTAGTCCAGTCAAACTAGACCAAAAAAGGGGTCTACCTTGCAAATTTTGCGAAAAACTTTCTGACACATGTTTCCTATGTGTTTTTTAGCGCTGAATCCGAATCTGAACTTTGCTACCTTCGATTTTTGCCGCTAAAGCCGCCATCTTGAAAAAACGTTGCCAAATCTCATTTTTTGTCCAAAAATCGCTAATAACTCGTTCCCTGTGCGTCGGACGGCAAAATGAGTTATTTGCAGAATGAAAGTACATAAAATTTTGGTTTAGAATCATGTATCAAAATTATGATAACATGCGTATACCATCCGCCAGAGCGCGCTGAAAATAGCGGGAAATTTGAAAAAATCGCAATTTTTTGCGGTTTTCTCAAATATCTTTTTTCTTAGCGGTTTTTCGGGAAAAATGGTTACCTTAGAAATTAAAGTAGACAAAAAATGCTACCAGAATCACTCTTAGTTTTTACACTAGCGATACTTTTAACGGGAACTAGGAGCGCTTGAAGTCGGAGACTCGCACGGCCGAAATCGGCTGTAGCGCCGCATCACGGTTCTACCTTATAAGGACCGTTTTATGGTTTCCCTAACGTTTAATTTTGCTTTAAGGCATTACATCTCGCTTATAATTAGTGAAATTACAGATTTCACCCCTTTTGGCATCCCTTCTCCCAGCCCCCACCCCTCCCCCCACGCTCCCTCAAAGAACAGCGTACAATCATTTCCACTGCATTTTTATCCGACGAAACGCTATTTTGCAGTTTTAGTAGTTTTAAAATGTCAGAATATCACTATTGAGCCCATCTCTCCGTCCTTCATTTCCTCCATACCTCGTACTATTATAATAAGGCAGTTTTCATTCGCTAAATCTTCATGAACCTGGAGGAAGAAAGAGGTAAAAGTTACCCCAACGGTAATTTGAGCTGACCAAAAAGTATGCGCATTCAAACTTTATAGTTAGAAATGCTGTCATACTCGTAATATTCTAAATAATAGGTATCGCATTCTAAATACTTGGAACAAAAACTACAATATGTTACGCGCGTGCATGACAGCATCATTAGGTTAAAACTTTTCACTCTTTTACTCTCCTCGTAGGTAAAGCTAAATAAAATCATGAACAACTTGTTTCGGCTTGAACACACTACAAGCTAGAGCGTAAGATGGTTTTATTAATTACTCGTATTTACAAATTTTAACGAAACTGATTTACTTTTAACTTTTATAGAATATTTATATAAGATAAAGTAGTTAAAGATTGCCATCGGATCAGCAGATGCGTCGCCTTTTAGCACGCGTTGTCGGACCGGAGTTGGAAGTGCTTGGTTGCATCAAAATATCACTGGAGGTTGAAGGAACTTGGGGTGAAATAGTTCTTTGGGTCGCTGGAATCTGGAGAACTGGAGTTGGCGGGGCCGAGTCCGCCTCTAAAGGGGGGTCGTCATCGTTATCCGCGTCTTCAGAATCATATCCTGGCTCGTCAATGTCTTCTTCTTCAAGTGAGAAATCCTCCTGCACCGAATTTTCGCAAGAATTACAGCAATGTTTGCATAAATCAGTACACCGAAGGCCGCTTTTTCTACAGCCACAAGATCCGCGGCAGCCTTTGACGCATTTGCAGGAAATTTTTTTCAGCAGCTCGTCCGGTGCCGGCTTTTGCACAGTAACCGGCGACAAGCCATTTTTTGTTGGCAGCCAGCCCCATTCCGTCGGATCTAGTTCAACACCCTTCCATGCTTGAACTTGCTGGAAAGTTCTAAAGGAGTGATTTTGAGCGGCTTCCTCAGAGGGAGGCAACGAAGCCAAATTTTGTCTCGTTTGGAATGACGTTTTCACGAAGCATTTATACCGAAAATTATTTAAAGTTGTTTCTTCGGGGGTTTTACAGCCATACAGAGCTAGCAAAAATCTCCTTCCTGCAGCAGATATTTCTTCGCGTTCAGATTCAGCATTTTGAAAAACCGAAGCGCATTCTTTCGCCAAATCAGGCTGGTTTTTAAAGACTGAAATGAATTTAGCTTTAGTCTGATTATAGATGGCAGAAGTCGTATCGCACCCGCTGAAAGCATGTAAAAACAGTATGCTGTCGGCGGCCGCTTCAACGTTGATCCCAGCTCTGTTGTAAAAAGTTGGCGCGGCGTTTTTCTTGCCCGGTTTCAATAAGAAAATGTTACCGATATTTTCCGAGTTCGCAGTCAACAAAACTAGCAGGTCGACATCCTCACCCACAATGAAAACAGTACTGAATTTGGATGTCATTTCTATCGCTGTTGACACAATAAGTCTGTCCGCGTCTTCTGAAGCCTGAAAAACTGAAATATTCTCAGTCTCGAAGCAATTTTTTAACATGGTAATGAGCCGATCCTTGTTGTTACTATTGCCAAGAAACTTTTCTTGCGCCACTGTTGGGACCATGTGCGCTTCAAAAAGGATGTCTGCCGAACTATGTTTAGCTGTTCTTCGCATTCTCTCATTGTGCTTGGTGCTCTTGTTGATGTCTCCTCCTCTAGAAACTGGATATCCGTCGAAAACGACGACTGCACTCATGCCGTAGTGTCGCTTAACGTATGAGACGTAGGCATTGCAAATTGATTCAAAAGATTCATTCTTTGGCCAAATGACGCGGTGCAGTAAGAAACCGCCGTCGATAACGCTTACTGAATTTTCTTGATTTATTTTCTGTGCAAAAGGCGTAAAGCATTTGTAAAGGGAAGATTTGGTTCCTTTCCGCATGCCATCCTCTTTGAAAATTGAGAGGGGGTAAGGAGAAAGTTCGTAAGACAAATATTGTTCTAGTTCTTCTTCAGATTTTTTTGTAATGCAGATACGGCGGAACAGCGTGAGGGGGTCGATGGATACAAGTTTATCTCCAAATTTAATTGCAGTTCTCAAGTTACTTAGTGGATTGCACCTGTCTTTCCTTTTGAATTCCAATGTTTCAAAATGACCGTCTTTTAGTTTCAATAAACCTTTCTCTCCAAGCTCCTTGGCAATGTGACAGTTGATACTTTCATTTGCGACCAATCCAGTATCTATCGCAATGAGATCTTCTTGCATTGGAAATGGTGAATGCTCTTGAAACCAGTCGAAAATTTTACCAGTATCTGCATCGTCACGTGCAACTCGAGAGCTGCGGAGTTCCACATGCTGTTCTGACGTCACGAAGTTAACCCCACAAAATTGCTCAATACAGTCGTTGATATTATGTAGTGACGTCATACCCATGATCCAAGTTGCCAGAGTGCTGTCTTTAATTCCTCTACCTTGAGTGAGACCGCCTGAACACTTCATTGTGCGCATTAAAGATTGTTCGATCACCATATCGGACCATGTTCCGCTCCAGAACTTATCACTCCGGCGGATTGTAAAATATCCTTCTTCTGTGAACAACTTGTACTCGAGTTTCGTCATTTTCTCTTCCAGCTTACTCATTTGTTGCAAGTACGTGTAGGCAGCTTTGACGTAAAAAAAATGTCCACTAGCGAAAAAATAGGGCAACATCCTTTGAACAGAGTCAAGATGCAGATTCCAATCTCCCATCCTTTCTGCTGCGACAAATTGATGGAGAAGTGTGACCATGTTGAAATACTGCACCCATAATTTCGCCGTTTTGCCTCTTTTCTCAAGGCATAAAAGCTGCTTCTTAAACTTCTTAGACAATTCCACGCAAGCTTCATCATCAGCTGAATCTCTGATGCACGCTCGGTCAACATTGGTCAGCAAAACTTCTAGGTCACAAGTTGCCACGGCAGTTAGTTGGATTTCCTTAAAAATAATTTTGGCCAATGCAAGACGCACCAATGTATGAGCTCTTATAGCCCTAGCGTAAGCGTGGCCATTCATCATCTTTTCAACGGAATTCGCTGCATAAGCGGTTTTGAATACATCTGTAAGGCCACTGCCAGACATAATGAAACCAATGGCGCCCATGTAGGACATCAGCAAATGAAAGCCGCCGAGCCTCAGTACTACATTCTCAAGACCAGCCTCAGAATCACAGGTGGCAAGAATGTCTTGGGCTTTTGTGTACAGAGGCTGGTCAAATGTTACAAAACAGGTTTTTTGATGAAGTTCTGTGCACTTTTTGGATGCTGACACCAATGATGTATAAATCGTGTCATAATTGCTAGCACTTGCGTTGATAAACGGTAAACAAGAAATGAAAGTTCTCTGAAACGGCATATCTGATGTAATCTGCTCCATGAACCCAC